CTTCCTGGAACTCCTGACATGGAATTAGGATTAATCATTTGATATTTTCCAGTTAATTTAATCGTAATGTTCTCATTGAGAATTTAGGATTAATCAAGTTAAGGCAGTGTAGTGCATGAACGAAATTGGTATTGCAAAAAAGAAATTTTTCCCTTTCAAAAGGTTTAAAAAATTATTTTAGTTGAATATAAATCTATAGTGTAGTTATGTAATAAAACGCAACTGAGATTTATTTAATATAGATGTGTAGAAATGAGCAATACCTCTTGTGTGTCTGTGACTGGGTTTCTAGTGCTGTGGTCGTAAGGATTCCATCATGGTTGATGGTTTGACTGGTGTTTGAAGAGACGGGCTGTGCGTTGCCTGGACCTCGCAGGGTGTTAGCATTTTGCGAGAAAGTTGTGTTACGCAGTGCGCCAGTTGGTTGCAAACTCATTTGTTGTCTGGTCACATTGGGTAGGGGCCTGACTAACCTGCCTAAATAGGTTAGTATTAGCAAGGGTTAAAAACGTGGAAATAAAATTTCTCAAGTAGGGAGAAAAATTTAAAAATTTAGTAATGTTTAAACTCTAAAAATTTTGCGATTACTTGTGAAGAAGCGAAATTTGTTTTATGCTACTGGAAAAATCTTCTTAAGTAATTACCGAGCTCATTGGCGAGTTGCGTGCGCAGGTCAGCTGGGTTCAGACCGTCCGTTGAGAGCACGGTGGCTCCATTGGAGTCGCTGTCATCATGTGAAGATACTGAAATAGTATGCTAATATAGTCAAAAAGTTATGAAAAAATTCAATAACGAGCAAAAAAGGAATACAAACGCTAGATATATATACTAATTTAGTCAAAACTATATGAAAAGATTCAATAACGAGCGAAAAAGAAAAAGAAACGATAGATATGTCTCTGTGGGTGATATAATTACTTAACAATGTCATAAAACATGTCTAATACTAGAGGTTAAGGTTGCCGAGAGCCTTTGCCATGGCCAATCTGTTGGTTCTGGGCAATTTGGTATAGCAAAGAAAAGCTCTGCTGGACCATCTGCCGACGGCCATGAGGTCTTCATCTGGAAATCCCAGGGAGCTAAGAATTGAAGGGATACCGGCCCTGAAGGAGTGTCCTGTTACAGATGTGCTTGAAAAGTCTAAGCAGTCTCCAAGCCACTTTTTAAGTAGACAATTAAATTCTCGTTGAGTAATTAATTTGCCAGATAGTTTCCTGAAAACTGGCATATGAGAAATTGTGGTTTCAAGTGTGTGCCATTTGAAGAAAGCTCTGACTGGACATAGGTCACTATTAGTTGGAAAAACATCCAAAACTGTATCACTAGTTGGAGCAGTTTTGGTAGATTTTAGTGATACTATGAGAAACTTAACAGGTTGACCGTTCACACTTGATGTTTTGATGCTAAGGTCAGAATTTAGAAAAGTGTATTTTGGTTCGAAGTTGTTTGGGCTCTTGGCCAGTATTTCACCCATGTGGAGAGAGCCGTGAAAGGCTAGAGTGCATAGAAACCAAAAAAGTCTGGCATCATGCCTGGGCAGGTCGTCCTTGCTGATAGCCAGTTTGAGAAGCCTGAGAATAGTTGGGGTGACTGGCAAGCGAGTTGGGTAGGATTTGACCACATCGTGGTCTAAGTTCTTTTTCCCAGCGAGAAGTTGGTTGACTAATTCTGTGCGCAGAGTGGGGGCCTCTAGGCCCTTTGTTAGGTGAACCAGTCTAATGCCAGATAGATAAGAATTCATGGTGCTTGCACTGAGGTTTCTCTCATTTAGCCATGCAATAAACGTTATTAGATCAGCTTGGGATAAAGGAAACGAAACTGGCTTGTTTAGGTCTTCAAAGCACTTATTTAGCATTCTCTCTGCCGTTGCATAGCTAGACCAGGTGTGTTTGGTGACAGAATGGTTTGCTAGGGTGCATAAAGATGAGGCCAAGCTCTGGTTGTCAGTGCAGTGAGAGAAAGACGCACAAGAGAAAAGGCCAGCAGGTCCATATTTAGTGGAGCCTTTTGTCGTCACTGGCACAAAGGGAACTAAAGAAAAAGTATTTGAAAAAGAGGCTTTAAAAAAAAAACCGTTTGCTTGCGTTAAAGTGAAGAAAAAACGTGGCTCAGGATTAATGGAAACCTAATCAGAGTCCTCTTGGGACAAAACCACACTAAGTAAAAGTAAGTATTTCTAACAGGAGAGTCCCCTAGAAAAATTCGACAATATCCTTTTTGGATAAGAAAGAAAAAATTTTTCCCTATCGGGACAAGAAAAAAGGAAATTATTTCCAAAAGAAACTCCTCAGGAGCAAACTGTGTCCTCTAAGGACAAGAGTTGTGTCCTCTTGGGATAAAATTTGTATTCTCTAGTGATAAAAATTTGTTTCCTCTTGGGACAAGAGTTGTGTCTACCCGGGACAAGAGTTGCGTCCTCTTGGGGCAAGAGTTGCGTCCTCTTGGGACAAGATTAGCGTCCTCTAGGGACCAGAGTTGTGTCCTCTTGGGACGAGAGTTAAGTCCTCTTGGGACGAGAGTTAAGTCCTCTTGGGACAAGAGTTGTGTCCTCCAGGGACAAAAATTGAGTCCTCTTGGGACCAGGTAAGAAATTTAATTTCAATAAAAGAGATACAATCATTACGGAAAAATATTCAAGTTTACAAAAGGTGCAAATTAAAACATTGACTAGTAGTGAGAGAAATCAGGGCATAATTTATAATTATAGCATTAAAGCAAAACTGAATAATTAAATTGACAAGTGAATTAAATTGTGAACTGTAAGTAATAGAGATTTAAACTAAAGAACTATTAAATTGTATACTGTAGGAGAAGTAGATTTAAATAAAATTACTAAAATATTTAAATAGACAAATAAAATTAACTGTACACTGTAAAAGATAGCTAACTAAACTAAAGAATTAATAAATTGCACACTGTAGGAGATGAAGATTTAAATAAGAGTACTAAAAAAGATTGCAAATTGCAAATTTGAGAGAGACATACTCATATTAAAAGAGTATAAAATTATTAAATTGTAATAGAGAGAGAAAACTATATGCAACAGTATTGTAAATAAAAACCAAACATACTTCAAGTAGAGATTGAAAAGGAAAAACAATCATGAAGCTAAGAAAAAAGATACATGAAAATAAACCAACCTTGAGTTGGTTGAGCAACTGTGGGCAACTCAGCAACCGGAGGCCAGAGTAGAGGAGGAAACTTAGAGGCCAATAAAGCAACTCCGGAGTTGCCTATTTCTTGTAACCTGAGCAGGAATCCGGCGTGGTTAGCTTTAGCTTCTGGTAGATAGGCCGAGCGGAGAAGTTCTGACAGAGCAAACCTGAGTCTGTATCCCAGAGGGAGACCAGGAGCCTCGGACCAGTCCGAGCCCGGGAAGATAGCACAGACTAGAGGGAAACCCCAGGACCTTTGAATTGGAGAGAGGGTTGGTATAGGGGCTAGAGGTATCTCCACGTCGGTGAGTCTGATTCCGGGAAATCTGGTGTCCTGGTAGGAAGGGTAAGCGGCGAGAGAAGCTAGACTGCAGGGAAAGATCATGATGACAATCTTGGCAAAGGAGTCTGTAGTAGGGTGGGCGTAAGCTCGCAGACAGAAACGAGAGACGTTGGCTGCTTCGAAGTCGTCCTCCGAAATAGTAGTAGTACCCTGAGTGAATGAAAAGTTTAGGTCTGAGGAGCAAACATAGTTCGATACTAACGAACCTTCCGGGAAGGAGAAAACTGTTAGGTCTCCCAGGGACAAGGTTAGAGTGGTTGCGGTTGTTGTAGGCCAAAAGCTGGAGACGTTGAAGACTTTGTCCGCCCAGAGTTTGCCTAGTAAGTGAAAGTTAGTATTTTCGACTCGTTCGTTATCCGCTGAGAGGGAGGCTGACAGGCAGCCGACTGCTCCACCGTTCCAATTTACATCTGGGAGAAGGACACGAGCGAAGTCATCGGTAGACTCAACAGAAAGGGAGAAAAGGTCCTCAGGGCTAAGGTCACAGGGGTCAGCAAAGGCTGAGCTCCTAATCAGGGTGCGTCTTGGCATCGCTGAAAAAATCAATAGTTAGGATAAGACTTAATCAAGTTAAGGGAGAGAAGAAACTAAGTAAATGAACATAAATGAAAATGTTGAAATCTGAGAGCAAGAGAAAAGAAAAACTTGTGGGACAGATACATGAACTTTATAGTTAAAAGGCTAAATAAAGTCAAGTTGTTGAGATTATTGAAAACAAGCAGGGAAAATAAGATAATTTGAATTAATCTCGAGTTAAACTCTGAGAGCAAGAGATAAAACTTTATGTAGGAAGGGAAACATAAACTTTATAGTTAAATAAGACTAAATCAATTAAGTTAATGAAAATTATTAAAAATTAGTTGGGCAATATAAGCTAATTTTAGTTAATTTCCAAGAGTTAAATCTGGAAGCAAAATAATAATTAAATGAAAATTGTTAGGTTCCGAAAGTATGAGTAAAAAGAAACAAAATTGATGTAAAAGAGAAACACATAATTACTATAGTTGTAACAAAAAGAGTCAAGTTAAAATTATTGAAAGAACAGGTTGTGAAAAGGTGAGACAATTAAAATTAAAAATAAAAAAGTTAAAAAACTGCATATATAAATTGAAGAGCTAAAAATCGTCGAACGGGTGCGGAAAAAATTTACCTAAAGGGTTGACGATAAATTTAGCAAAAGAAAACTTGATGACATAATAACAGAAATTAATTGTGAAAAGGAAAAATAAAAATTGTTCAAGTGATGGATATTAAGAGAGAAAAGTAACGTTACTATCCTAGAAATATTTATCTGATATTTATCCGAAGCGAAGCGGTAGGGAGGACTGGAGGAAGAAGACTGAGGTAGGAATGACGTGTAGTTTGTAAGGCGTGGGAGAAAGAGGGTAGCGCCACGTAGCGGGAGAAACTACAGTACAAAGAAGAGTAGCAGGGACTCTCCCAAATGTCATCGTCCTCACTCAGTTTAACCCTCAGACATTCTGTCTGACGCCTAAACAAGCATGAGATATCTCTGCGATCAATGTGGATATGCTTCTAATTCAGCAAGAAATCTTAAAGTACATGTTGAATCTGAACATGAAGGAGTTAGGTATCCCTGTGATCAGTGTGAATACGCTGCTAAAAGTGGACAAAATCTAAAGATACACATTGAATCTAAACATGAAGGAGTGAGATATCCTTTCTCTCATTGTGCATTCACTGCCACTCAACCAGGTGATTTAAAGATACATATTGAAAATAAACATGAAGGAGTGAGATATCCATGCGACCAATGTGATCATGCTGCCACTACAGCAAGGAATCTGAAGAGACATATTGAATCTAAACATAAAGGAGTAAGATATCCATGCGATCAATGCGAGTACGCTGCCACTGCTTCAAGTAGTCTAAAGAGACATGTTAACAGGAATTCTTGCCTTAGAACTAAAAACTGAATATTTTGAATCATATAATCAGTGTTGTGTCATAACTTTGAAATTACAAAACAATAAGAAACCAGTGCTGAGACAGTGCTGAAAATCTACCCTTTATTACAGTGTAAACTGATGTGCTCAACCTGGACTTTGTCAAGCCTTCAAGTCCCGAAAGGTAGATCAATTTCACATAATAAAAAACACTGAACAATTTGTGAAAATTAATGTTATTATAATCTAACAATTCAATAGTAAATAAATAACGATGTTATTTAATTAGAACTCTTAATCAATAATTTATTTAGACATTATTGATCGATTGATGAGTATGCAAGCATTGAACTATGAACTGAAACTGTGAACTACTGCGCTCTCATGTAAATGGATACCCACCATAATGTAAGTTTTTATTTTTTGTATTCTTTCATAAAAACTATATTGTCCTAAAAAGTCCAACATATAACATCTAAAAAGCAGCGCTATAAAAATTGCATTTTTTATACTTGTTTGTATATATTTTATATAAATAATTTTATATTTCAGTTTTCACCTGTTTTTGGGTTACTGTCTATGTTAAATGGGGAGTACTCTAACTGGCTACCTGTTACTAGTGGAGTACCCCAGGGGTCAGTGCTCGGCCAACCATGTTTGTCATCTTTATTAATACTTTGGACATTTATCTTCAAGACTATTCAGTGTTATTATCTAAATTTTCTGATGATACTAAAGTTGGTACGCCTGTTAACAATGAAACTGATTCTATAGTTCTACACAATGATATAAATACTCTCTGTGACTGGTCTGATGATCTGTCAATGAAATTTAATTCTGGAAAGTGTAAAGTAATGCATGTTGGTGGGAGAAATAATCATTTCACCTACACAATGCATGGTTTTGCTCCAGGTGGTACAGTGTTGGAGTCTGTAGATGAGGAGAAGGATGTAGGAGTAAAGATTTCTAATACATTGAAACCTTCAAGTCAATGTCAAGCTGCAGCATAGAAAGCAAACCAACTAGTAGGGCAAATGTCTAGATCTTTTACATACCGAGACAAATACAATTGGATAAGACTGTATAAAGGTTATGTGAGACCTAATCTAGAATATGCTGTCCAAGCATGGTCACCCTGGAACCAGAAGGATATTGATCTCCTTGAGGATGTCCAGAAAAGAGTTGCGAGAATGACAGCAGGACTGAAGCCAGGAACCTACCAAGACAAGCTGAAAGAATTAGGCTTACCCTCCCTAGAGGAGAGAAGAAGAAGAGGTGACATGATACAAACCTGGAAAATATTAAACCAACATGATGATGTTTGCGAAAAAACCTGGTTCACTAGGTTAAATTCAGCCTCTACAGTTAGCACAAGGTTGAATTCATCTATATTCAACCTGGAGATGAAGAGAACAAACCTGGACATAAGAAAAAACTTTTTTTTCTATTAGAGTTGTTAAAGGCTGGAACCAACTGCCTGAGGTAGTAAAGGGGTCCATGACCCTATATGCTTTTAAAAACAGTTATGATGAGCATAGAAATGCAGCCATGGATCCAGATTAATAAATGATGACCTGACCCGCCACTTCATTCTTGCATGATGCAGGAGCTTGGCGGAGAAACTATCAACATATCAACGTATATTGAAACTAAACATGAAGAAGTGAGTTATCCCTGTGATCAGTGTGAATACGTTGCCACCAAATTCTGTTATTTAAAAACACATCAAAAAAGGAAGCATATTAATTAAGAAATGCTTTGCACTATAAACTTCAAATTGTCTATTCTCTATTTATTTAATTATTCCTTGTTTATTCTATAAGCAGGTAGGCGAAATATTTGAAAAAGTTTTAAAAAATTATGAAAAATCAAATTTGGATTTTTTAAATGTAGTGTGGTCATTTTTACGTCTTAATCTTAAGTTGGCTGGGGGTTACAGCCTGGTTACAGCCTAAGGAGTTACAATAGTATAAAAGTAAGTAACATATATGATAGATAAAAGGTTTGATTAAGATCATGTCAGAAATTCAATTAAAATTGCGATTTTTATAAATTAATACTTGTTTTTGTAAATTTAGATTTTCTTTCAAATATATAGGTTTCTGCTATAAATTTGCTTGATTTGTGCTTCTGTTGCAAACGAGTTTTTTCAGATAGAATGATGGATGTGATGGATTCACTTAAAGAAGAATTAAATTAAGATGAATTTGATACATAGGAGATAGTTTACATCAAGGAAAAACTTCTTCCATCCTCCGCTATAGAGAAGACATGTACTGTGGACTTGGAGGATACATGTACTGTTGAGGATAAATGTACTAGATAGAGGATACATGTACTAGATAGAGGATACATGTACTATGTAGAGGATAAATGTACTAGATAGAGGATACATGTACTAGATAGAGGATACATGTACTTTGTAGAGGATACATGTACTAGATAGAGGATACATGTACTATGTAGAGGATGTATGTACTCTAGATGATACAGGTACTTCATAGGATACATGTAATACAAAGGAATTTCCTGAACGGATGCGAGTGGTGGGAAGGCTGCGCTTCCGGAATTACGCATCCTTTCTCAGAATTCATTTCGACAGCTTGCCTCTCGGTGCTAGGTAATCTTGACAGCTTGCTTGCTACTAGGAGTAGGAAGTGTGGGGGCTTGGATTACATGATAAGTCTTGTGGATACAAATTATAATGTAGAATGGATACAAATGTTTATATAGAAGAGATATGGTTGTGCGCGTATCGTTAGGGGAAGTACTGATGGGTGTGACTTCCTAGGGGACCAGAATAATCCCAGAAGTGTTTTAATAATAATAATTACCTTGCTGGAAATGGGTTGGGATTACCGGGCTGTGGTTAACGTTGAGTGTAATGGGCTTGAATAGGAATTTTCGATGATCAAGTTAAAGGGATGGATTCGAAAGTTAAATGATGGATATGAATGTTGAAAAGGATTGATACAAATGATATGATGGATTAATAATTTGATCCATGTTGGGTTTAATTGTTTATCCAATTTGGAGACTAATGTTAAGGGTGGATACAATTTTTATGATGGATTATGAATTTGATACACAGGTCGAGTTCGATTTTTGTTTCAATCTGGATACCAATGTTGGTTTAGGTTGGAGTTAAAGGATGGTTACAAATGTTATGATTACCAGTGGATACGATTGTCATGATGGATTATGAATTTAATACAGGTTGGATTCGATTTTATTTCAATCTGGATACAAACGTTGATACCGTTTGGAGTTAAAGGATGATTACAAATGTTCTGATTGCTAGTTCTAGCGGGTTGGATACATGTTAATTTAGGTTGAAAGGATGTATACTAATGTTATGATGGATTTTTAATTTGATCCAGGTTGTGTTGTATTGTTTATCGAATCTGGATGCTAATGTTCAGGATGGATTATGAATTTGATACAGGTTGGATCGATTTTTGTTTCAATCTGAATACAAATGTGAAGGATGGATACAAATGTGATTTAGGTTGGAGTTAAAGGATGGTTACACATGTTAAGATTGCCAGTGGATACGATAGCATAATGGATTATGAATTTGATACAGGTTGGATTCGATTTTTGTTTCAATCTGGATACAAATGTGAAGGATGGATACAAATGTGATTTAGGTTGGAGTTAAAGGATGGTTACAAATGTTATGATTGCTAGTGCTAGCGAGTTGGATACGAATGTTAATTTAGGTTGAAAATTATGGATATGAATTTTATGATGGATTATGATGAATTTGAAACAGGTTGGATCGATTTTTGTTTCAATCTGGATACAAATGTGAAGGATGGATACAAATGTGATTTAGGTTGGAGTTAAAGGATGGTTACAAATGTTATGATTGCCAGTAGATACAAATGTTATGATGGATTATGAATTTGATACAGGTTGGGTTTGATTGTTTATATAATCTGGATACTAATGTGAAGGATGGATACAAATGTTAAGGGATGGATACGAATGATGATTTAGGTTGGGTTAAAGGATGATTACAAATGTTATGATTGCTAATGCCAGCGGGTTGGATACAAAAGTTAATCTTGAATATGAATGTTAAGAATGAATTCAGGAACTGGATGCTTGTTGGATATGTTGACCAATCTAGATACGAATGTTAGGGTTGGATTCAAATAAGCAAAAGTTATAATCATGGATGGATGTTGAGGATGGATTGTTTATCTAATTTTCCTAAATTTTAAATTTGTATTTCAAATTGGCAACCCAGCTTTGCCTGAAAACTAAACTTTCGATATTAAAAAAGACAACCCACGTTCCACTTAAAATTTCTAAACCAAGCCAAGTACATCTCCTTGGTTCTATTGAGTTAACCAATCAAAAATTAAGAGATTTTATGAGTTATGATTTGATGAACAAACAAATAGACAAACTGACAGAAAACCAAAAATTACTTTTTTTAAAAGATTTACTATTCCCAACAAATGAACACAGATGGAAAAAACGAGAATAATATGTAAGTTTCTGGAAACTAAATGACCTCCAAAAATGAAAATGTTTAACTATATCTTTATGCATATCAATTAAAAGCTAGAAACCTCAGGAATACAGCAGCAGTAACGAATCCAGTGTTTGACCTTCTAAGGACCTCTAACGGCCTCTAATGACCTCCAAAAATGAAAATGTTTTAGCTATGACTTAATTACCTGGGTTCCTATCTTTCGTTTGATATGCCTAAAGCCATAGTTAAAACATTTTTATTTTGGAGGTCATTTTAGGTCATTAGAGGTTGTTAGAGATCATTAGAAGGTCAACCACTGGGTTCGTTGCTGCCACTATATTCCCTGGGTTTCTATCTTTCGTTTGATATGCACAAAGCCATATTTAAAACCTTTTCATTTTTGGAGGTCATTTAGGTCATTAGAGGTCATTAGAAGGTCAAACACCGGATTCGTTGCTGCTACTGTATTCGTGGGGTTCCTAGCTTTAAATTGATATGTTCAAAGCCATAATTAAAATCTTTTCATTTTTGGAGGTCATTTAGA